ATTCCAAAAATATACGGCTTTAAGTCTCGCAGTTTATTAAACACTGTAGAATAAAGGTATGTATAGCACTCATCTTTTATGGGTCGATCTCCAGTTTACTGATTTAAATCTGTTTGGGAAAACGATAGGAATTTGCACCTTTTTTTAAATAGTATACATCACGAGACTCCCTGTATGACTCAGCCACTTGTTGTTTCTAAAGATCTAAAGCTTTAATTGTTCGTTCCAGAAAGTGGATACGTGTTAATTGCCAACGAGCCATCCGATCGAAGACGCTCGGATGGCGAGGCGGCAGCAGAATAGAGCCGCGCAAGACTTGGCAATAGGCAGAAAAATTCTCGATCGAGCTGAAAAAAGTGTAACCCAATGTAATGTAGATTCCCCTGAGACCAAGTGGTCAGTTGTGAACCAATCAAAAGGCAGTACCTGGCGCACGGGCTCAATTTGAATAACAAACAAAATTTCTCACACTTCCCACCGTCGCGACTTCCTGTGTTTCTTTACCTAAATTTTTTAGTTAAACCCGGCCACCGCAGTCAAGAGACATGAGCACTTGATAGATTCTATTAATTTTAGGGGCCATAATGTTAAATTTTAACGAAGAGAAGTTTGTAAAACAGCAAAAGTGTTCTATGTGCAGCAAGCAATATTCTCACCACTAAAAAGGATCAGATTACACGAGGAGATAAGGAAAGCTTGACACGAAGAATGCAGTCGCTTCTGTTGGAAAATCTGGTGTTGGGGAAAAAAGCTAACCAGCAAACAAAAACAATGAGAACAAAAACGAATTACAAGCCTAAAGCAAAGGACAAAGGAAAAGAAAACAGTGCCATTTTTTTCGAAACTTGGCCGAGTTCAGTATAAAAGTAATGAACTAAAATTAAATACCGACGTGCCGTACATCGCTTGTCCTTGGAAACATTTCAGATGGCCCAGCGAATCATGTTAAGTTTCAATCCGATAACAAAAAGACTTGGGAAATTTGAAAGGAGGTGTAAATGATTAAACTGTGCAAATATTTATCAACAATGTGAAACCGAACCGACAGGAGATTTGTAGCTGGACTTAATAATATTCCCGATCGCTTCCTCTGCAAAGCTAACTTTATTCTTTCAAGGCACTTCACAATTTTACATAGCAGGTTTGTAAAGCCACCATACTGAATCTGAGAACTTTTCAAGAAAATAATCCTTGCAACACGAAGGGACCAAGAAACGGTCAAATGGGAAAAAAAGGAATTTTATTCCTAAGCAAAATAAGCATGATTTGCTCATTGGCACTCTATCGATAGGTATACCTAGTTAATTATTGGAGCTGTGGCACATAATTTAGCCAAATTCAGCCATTACGAAATGGCCACCAGACAGTCGTGGATAATAATAGCAAATCTGAGGGAAAAAGACAGGCAAGACTGAAAAGAGATTGCAATATTTTTTTTTCAACAATCTCTGTGCAGACTAAGAGTGTTTTAAAGTGAGAGTAGTAGTAGAGTTCTTATGTTGTCTCCAATGGTTGTTTTGGACAAATGAATGTTAATTGACCATTAAAAGTTGGTAAGAAAAGTAAGTTGAAAGGTTTTGTAAGAAAATAATGGAGTTTTCTCTTTATGCTAAAACAAAAATAGTGATTACCTTGTTTCTCTCAGAAATGAAAGGCGTGTTTTGAGTTGCAGTCTGTCTTTTGAGATTTTTTGTTTCTTATGTGGAGTGATCTTTTATTGGTAAGTTGTGTTATGTTTATTACTTTTTGTAGTTTCTTTGTAGCATAATATAATAAGTTTCACTGTGGCCTAGTTCTAGAAGATAATATTTTCGATTGTGTTTTTATATGTGAGGAGATTTCAGTGTTATATCTGAAAGGGAAATGGACTGCACAATAACATTGGATTTTGATGGAAAAGAAAAATTAGGGGTGACAGTGTGTTGCTAGTTGTTTGAATTTAAGGATAATCAGTTAATGTCACATTAAATTTTAATGTAAAGTGCAGCATTTGACGAAAAGCGTTTTGACCTTGAATTGTTGTCACATGCATTCCATAACATGTTTTTCTTATGTATACTAGCTTTTTACCTTTAGTGTTCCTCTTGCAGGTGCGGCAATTGTCTGTACAACAGCAAAAATAAAAAAAGATATCATAATATTTTACATGGGTTAACACTGACACTTAGCGTCAAAGTGTTTTTCTTCGGTTCAAACGTGCAGTTTGGTTGATGTGAATCAACCATTAGCTTAATGATTGCATGCATAAGCATTGGCCAGCCCAAAAGAAGATTCTTTCCCCATTTCTTAAGCACTCAGACGAAAATGTTGGTGTTTAACCTGGTTTTGCAATAATTTGCTACACGATCTGAAATTCCGCTTGTGTCATGTCAAGATTATGAAGTGTATGAATGTTTCGTTCCATAAATTATCGATACGTATACCTCCCTCATTGAAGGGATTTTTTGTAAGACTTCTCCTTGTCTGGAAATTCCAGTCAAGCTTCATACTTACATTTTTCGGCTGTTGAGAATGTCTCACCCCCCACCAATTTGTACTCCCTCTACTGTTAGGGGAGTATTGATTCTGGAACTAGATAATTTATGCTCTTTGGTAATTCATCAACGGATCTTGTATTTTCATACAATCAAATAAATAAACAAGCTGAAAAGTGTTATTTTAACTTGTGTATAGAGTGTTTCAGGTATTTTACTCAGGTTTTCATTTAGTGTGAGGAAAGTATCTTTGTAAAGGGTCCACAGTGAGTGCGAAAACAATAGAAACAGTTGATTGATGCGAATGAAAACTATGGTTTTGACAGAGAGAAAAAAGTCTTTGATGGTGCCTGTTAGTGGTAACTGTTGTAAGATAATTTCAAGCAAAATTTCTGCCTTTTGATTCTTTTTATTTTCATCAACTTGACAAATATTTTTAATTGTGTGTGAAGTGGTTAAAGTCAATTTGCTTAAAAACAATATTAAGAATTGGTGGCATATTTCAGGTGTTGACAATTTTTGCTGATCACATTGATATATGAAGACTTCTGAAAAGAATAAGAATATTAATCAATGTACTTCAAAGTATTGAAGTTTTATACTCAGATTGGGCAGCATCAAAGGCAGGTGTATTAATGATTCGTCTAAGTGCTATGAACAGAAAATGTATGTCATTAATTAATAGAAGTAAAAAACATACTTTCTCACTATTTGTTGTATTTTGCTATGAAAGTTGAACATGTAATAGGTGCAGTTACTTAGGTACACGTACTGGATTGTAAATGTAGTTAATGGCACATGAAGCCCCAAGAGGAGTAGGCTAGGGTAGCCTGCCTGAATGTATTCTCAGTCGTTTCTTTAAAGCCTTAGTCATGAATGAAAGAACAGTAATTTTTAGGATACAAACAGAAGCTGTTCATGGCTGGAAGCTAAATACTTATTCCTCATGTCTTTATAATTACAGTCAACTCCCGATAACTCGAACCTTCCAGGGAAAAAAATCGAAAAAAGGTTCAAGTTATCAGGAGTTCGAAGAAAATAGCCGAGAGTAAGTAAAAAACAGTTTTTATTGCACAGTGAACATTTTAATCACATTTAATTGTAGAAATCTCAAGTGAAAATTGAAAGATACTTTTAGATTATAAATCAGAACGTAATGTAACAAAACATAGCCTAAACTAAGGTGGTCCATAAGGGACATCTCAATATTTTTCATTTCCACTTAATAATTTGCGATTTGACTTATTCTCGATCAAAGTTAATAAATAGCAACACAAATTTATGTCTCTCCATTTAGACTTAAAACTCGCAATGATAAGTTATAACTCTCGATCGCAACTTTTAACTCGTGATCGCCACATATAACTCTCGATCGCAACTTATAACCTGCGATCGCCACTTATAACTCGTAATTGCGACTTAACTCGCGATCGCCGCTTATAACTTCCTATCGCCACTTACGATTCGCGATCGCTACTTACAAGTTGCGATAGCTACTTGTAACTTGCGATCGGCACTTATAATTCGTGATCACAACTTACAACTCGCGATCGCCACTTATAACTCGTGATCGCGACTTACAACTCGCTATCGCCACTTGTAACTTGCGATCGCCAGTTACAACTTGCCATCGCCAGTTATAACTCGCGATTCCCAGTTGTATCTTGCGATCGCCATTTATAAATCGCGATTGCCACTTATAACTCACGATTGCCTCCGACAACTCACGATCGCCACTTACAACTCACGATCATTTAATTATACTTCATGATCGTGATTTATACCTCTCGATCACGCATTGGAGGATGGCTATGTACTCCAGCAAGTGAGCGTGTGCATATTCAGTACCGCCATCGGGACAACGTGATATGGCGGTTGTTACCCGGAATTACTTTGCTGTGACTTTTCTAATCACTCTTTTCTTTTTCTTTTGAGGCACCTCAAAAGGATCTTACAAAAGCGTGGACTGCGTAGGAGAAATATCCAGTCAAATGTAGAAACAGTCATCGATGTAGTAGAGCATGAGTTACAGTGGAGTGGGAGTACTATTGGATATCGACAAATGCATCAATGAATGTGGAGTGATCATGGTGTTGTGATTGATCAAGAAAAAATTAGGCATATCATTATGGGTCTGGATCCAGAGGGTGTTGAAATGCGATTGAAGAGACGGTTTAGGAGAAGGAGGTATGTAGCTTCGGGTCCTAACTTTATATGGCATCTTGATGGGTACGATAAATTATAACCGTACGTGTTCTGCATTCACGGTGCCATACAAATAATGACCCAATGATCACTGTTCAATTCTTCATTGACTGTGTTCGGCAGTTAAGTGGGCTTCCACGAGTAGTCCGAGGCAATTGTGGAACTGAAAACATACACATTGCTGCAGTTCAGCGGTTCATAAGGAGAAACCATGGGGATAGCATGGCTGGGGAAAAAAGCTTTCTCTATGGAAAATCGGTGGCAAACCAAAGGATTGAAGCTTGGTAGGGATTTTTAAGGAAGAGTATCACCGACTGGTGGATGCGATTTTTTAAAGATTTGACAGACCAGGGTCACTTCGATAACAGCAGCGTTATCCATGTGCAATAATAATAATCAGTTTATTAAACCCTTTTTGTAGTGTATAACACTAAATTACAAGAGAGGTCAAGAATACGCAGAACACAATTTCACATGGCACAGAAGGCAAAAACAATTAAAATCCTATTGTAACTGTGGGTAACAAAATTACTAAGGCGGTCCGTTATGACAAAGTGGAATTCAGAACGAGAAAAACTCGACCTCAACCCGTACCCATGAGTGACATTCGTGGGCTGCGGCAGCAGATGTGAAAGGAACCTGGACTCCTTGATGTTAGATATAAAACGCCTGCAAGCCTCATCACAGCGCGACAAAAGTGTAGGCAAGCCACAGCGCATGAGTGCCGACTCATAAGAGCAATCTAGAAAAATTATTCTTAGTGCAGACTTCTGCACGCTTTCCACCAATTGAACCAGACAGTTGGGTAATGTGGCCCACACCAGAGATGCATATTCTAAAATGGCCCGCACAAGGCTACAATAAACCTGAATGAGATCAGCTGGTGGGAGGCCTGATTTCATTAAGACACGCAAAACGTAGAGACGCTTGCGTGCTCTCTTCACAATATAGTGGCAGTGAATAGACCACGATAAATTGGGCGACAGATGGACACCAAGCAACTTATAAGATGGCACCTGCTCTATACTACTGCCCAACATCCGTAAGGGAGGTAGGTCCTAGGGCTTATACTTTAAGAAATCTATGCGTAACTCTTTACATTTGGATGGATTTAGCTTCATACCATGACTACTAGCATAAGAACAAATATCCCTAGCTATAAAGGGCAGCATGCTGGTTGAACATCTAGGAATAATCTCTAAGACTGAGAGATCGTCCACATACTTAACTCTAGTTTCCCAGTCCTTCACTAGGTTGTTGACAAGGATTGCAAACAACAGGGGGGCTAGTCTTGTCCCCTGAGGGATACCGCCCTCTGGAATGATGCTGTTGGACAAAGCACTANTAAGAAATCTATGCGTAACTCTTTACATTTGGATGGATTTAGCTTCATACCATGACTACTAGCATAAGAACAAATATCCCTAGCTATAAAGGGCAGCATGCTGGTTGAACATCTAGGAATAATCTCTAAGACTGAGAGATCGTCCACATACTTAACTCTAGTTTCCCAGTCCTTCACTAGGTTGTTGACAAGGATTGCAAACAACAGGGGGGCTAGTCTTGTCCCCTGAGGGATACCGCCCTCTGGAATGATGCTGTTGGACAAAGCACTACCGATTTTGACTTGTTGCAACCTTCCCGTCAAGAAGGCCCCAATCCATCTAATTAAGGCCTCATGCACCCCCAAACTGTGAAGCTCATATACCAAAACAGAATGATCCACCAGGTCAAATCCTTTGCTAAAGTCGGTAAACAAGATGCGAGCATAGCAATGGCTGTTGTCAAGCGCTTCTAGGATACAGTGAAGCAAGTAAACGAGCGCATGCATAGTTGATCTGCCTAGGAGTGCAAACTGTTTTAGATCAATTTTATGACTTGATTAAATAGGGGGGGATAACATGAAACCCTCAAATATTTTAGCTGTTTGAGAAGTTAAAGTAATTGGCCTTAGATCGTTCTTAATACATTTAGGTGGTGAACATTTAGGGAGGGGCAAGGCTACAGACTCCTTGATCTGATAAGGGATGAATCCTTGCACCAACGAGGCATTGTAAATATCAGTAACTACTGGAGCAAGTTCAAAAGCAAATTCCTTCCAAATCAGTTAGGCACCGCTGAGGGCCTAGGCGATTTATTGTTCTTAACATGGCACAGGGCTTTATAGCAACTAGAGACATCAACAAGAAACTCCCTTGGGACATCAAGGTTATGATCGAGGTCAGCAAGTGTGGTGTCTAGAGGGGTGAAATGTGATGTAAGGGCAGCCAACAAGGAGTTGAACTTCTCTGCTAGTGCAGGGAGTATCCTCATCAAGTAACGGAGTTATCCAATCTGTTCGAGCTCTTTGACCAGTAAGGCCCTTTAACTCACGCCACCAACGACTAATGCTACTTTCTTTAAGGGAGGCCACCTTACTATCATAGAACTTTTGTTTACACTCCGTGCATGCCCTCTGCACCTTATTACGCAACTCTTTGTAGTGCTGCGTTTCTTTTCCATAGGTAACAAGAGCTTTCTGGCATTTAGTGGTCAGGGATTTTAGCTTGTGTGTGATTCAGGGTTTATCTGAAGAGCAACATTTGGTACGCTGCAAGGGAAGATAGTAGTTGACTGCATCTGTCAAGGTAGAGATGAACAAATCAAATTTTTCCTGGACATGTGTAAGGCTCACAGTCACACTGAGTAATCCAGCTTAATTCGAGAAGAACTGTATAAGGTTGCAAAGAACTGGAACTTACACAAGATACGGCCTTCTAATACAGACACGCCACATGGAAGGCCTGATACACTTTTTTTTCTCCCAGATGAGGCAGGAGCTACGGATTTCAAAAAGGACGCTGACGTGAATGATCTGGAGGTAGCAGAGAACTCAGTATGTGGCGAGCGATGTCATCCTCTTGGTTGTTCACTAGCATTCGTATCATTAGCAGAACTCATTATGGAGGATAACGACTTACATCTACCACAAGGCCCAGACGAGGCGAAGTCTCTATACTTAGACCTGTTTTATCATATCAACAATTTGTAAATCGCCAATCTCTCTGAGGGAAAGATGCAACAAAATGACTGACAAGTGATGTGCACGACATTTCAAGTTTTTCCGCTGGTAATTTCGTTTTCGTTACCAAAAAATGCCGCGTCCAGGTGTGAAACTCGCTGTAGAAGAACTAGACAAGATCGGCACTAAGAACATGGTACAACTGGTAGATTCAGTAATTATTAAGTAGTTCCATTATAGTGTTACTTGGGTATTAAGAATGTTGTTCAGTTGTGAAAGCACGATTGTATAAAAGTTTAATGTTTCAACACCAATTTTGTTCACTCCGTAGCTGCTATGATTATACCCTGTCTGCTACAATACAAGTGAAAAATGTAGAAATTAATTGCCATTGACAAACGTCCTGGACCAAGGATGGACATACCTCATCCCAAGAGAGCTTTATCCTCTCTTACTCATCCTCAGTCTGCCCTTGTTGCACTGATTTTTCCCCGTTACGCGTTAACACTCCAGCCCTTAATTTTTGTACCGTTTTTGTTTTCGATAACTATGAAAATGAGCACTTTATTCTGATAAGAGAAAGGCCTTGATGTAAGTAGTATATTTATTCAGAAATAATATTATATTAACGTCAAGATTGTCAGTAAATAGGACCCACTAGGGCATTAGAGCTCGAACAATGTCTTACCCCTCTTTGGCTAAAAATTTGCGTTATCACTATGCCTGTACAGGTAGCCTCGTCCCCTGGCCAAAAAATCCCTGGGGACAAGGTTGCTGTCCAGCAAGGGGAAGGCATTAAGAATGAGAACTTTACCTTTCGAGCCGTTCATGGAAAATATGAGCATTGCATGGGTTCATTTTAAATTTTTGTAGGGTCTTCATCTTGGAAACGTTTTATTAAAAAAACTATTTAATAATCATTGAAAAGACATATTTCACATTGTACTAAATAAACTCAACCAGCCACAAACAATGCTAAAAACTGATCAGCCAAAACAAGGGAGTCTGACTTTGGTAACTTCTAATGAGTCGGTTTCTTAGTTGACTTGGTCGATTTTGTCACGCAAAAAGGAGTTGGGTAGTTTTAGGTTGTAGGCCCTTTAGAATAATGTATGACACTAGGACATGGGTTATGTTCGTAACCCTTTTTTTGGTAGCTACACTTTAGTTGACAAGGGCCGAGAGGGGAAACGCCAACTCGAAGCTCCGCCATGTTTCAAAATATTCCGACCTAGGCTAGTGGACACTCAGTTTGTTTGCACAAAAATTGAAACATTTAAAAAGAATACCGTAAAATCCCACATTAAAGCCCTGGGCTTATACATACAAGTTCAAAAGGGGTTTTGGGTTGGCTTATATCCTGGGGGCATAAAAGCGAAAAAAAAAAAAGGTTCGGAGCGACGACATTAAATGTTTCTGAGAAACAAATTAAAGCAAACATACCATTACAGTTAGAGTAACGTTAATAAATTTATTGTGCGTCACGATAAACGGAGAATGTATTTTAGCCAGCTGTTTGCTCTCTTGCTCCAAAAGATTGCAAATAAACAGTGGAACAGAACTCCGTTATATATGCATGAACATTTGTTTCTTTCTTTGGTGTCAATATAACTATTGTTCTAGACTCCACAGCCACTTGTTTATGCCTATAACTTTAGATATTGAAAAATTTTGATGTTTGTAGAGAAACACACCTATACAGTAGATGGGCTTATAAACGGGGCTTATATCTGGAATAATATCTTCATTAGCAAATGGATGGGCTTTTATCCAAGGGGCTTAAGACCGGGGGTGGGGCTTTTATGTGGGATTTTACGATATTGTAACACGTGAAACCCCAAGTTAATCTTGAGAGACAACCGCAAGAAATCACAAAAATGTGCCATCAACTCACCATACAGGGCTGTCATTAAGGGCAAGGGGCCGGGAATTTTCCTCGCCAATTATGAACCTGACCCCTGCCTTCCTTTGGTTCTATTAGTTTTCTTACATTTTCCTACGAACAAAATCCCTAGTCGTTGGATTCCCCGTCTACTTGTGTCATTAGCCCGGCCACTTGAAATTTTAATGACAGCCCTGATGTCTCATATTAACTGTGATCTTTGGCTATCTAAAATGAAGCAATTGTTCAAAAGTAAAATAATAATAATAATAGTAATAATAATAATAATAAGGCTGATGTGAAATTTAAACGAGCTTGTGATTTTATCAGTAAGTAACAACTTAAGATCTGTCACATGAACAGTAGTAAATGAAAGTGAATGTTTTGCCTGGAAGCAAAAATCTTAACATAAACATCTTAACCGGGAGATGGGCTCCTATCTTAACACATGAAGAAATCACAAAAATGTGCAATCAACTCACTTAACTGTGATCAGCTATCTAAAATGGAGCAATTGCTCAAAAGCTGAAAACAAATCAATAAAAGGCTGATGTGAAATGCTGCTTGAAAGCAGTTTCCTCAATTTAAGCCGTCCTTTACATCTGTCTCATGAACAGTAACAAGAGAAATTGAATGTTCTGCCTGGAAGCAGAAATCTTAACACGAGCATCTTAACGCAAACGTCTTCGCGTCTGACATTGTGAAAAAAGAAAAGAAAAAACGGGAGACGATGCGAATGCAAGGCAATTAACTAAAAATAAAAAACGGAATAATGGCATTTTTAACAAAAAGTCTGCTTTTACAGGGCTGTGTCGTTTAAACTGGCTTTTACTTTCAAGAGAGATTTGCAAGCACCATACTCTTGAAAAGTCCGTCCTTGGGAAGACCATCCTGGCTGCTAATCATTCAGGTCCCAGATGTTACAATCTCGAAGATAAAAGTCCAAGTTGTTTCGCATTTGTGAATATGATTGGTAGTTTCTGGGCAGAATTAATTTGCGGAAGCAGGTGTACGCTTTGGGGCGAATCGCCATGGGAGCCATGACTTCTGTATGCACTGCAATGCTGTGATCAGGAAGTAACACATCCGAAGCTGTACAGGAGCGGAGAAGTTTGGCAAGCATTTGGTAGGTAGATCCTTTGAGATACTGTCCAGCCATCAAAAAATTTGTGCCTCTTTAGCGTTTTCTGGAGTTAATGCCAAATTAGCCATGATGCGGGCTGCTGTTGGTCTGGACATTTCGTACAGTGACGCAATTTCTTCTTTGCTCACGTTTGACCACAGATCACCCATTCCTTGGCGCAAGCTCTTCAAAGATATGAAGGGCTTCATCACAAACTCGGCAGTTCCCACGAAAATAAGGATGGATCTTATGTTGTCTGCAGTGGGTAACTGGCGCAAGTTGTGATCATCTAGCAAGTCAATAATTTCTTCTCTTGGAAACGGCCCTACACAATTGAGCGCTCTACTTAAACAGTCCTTCTCGTAAGGTGGTAGGAGCGCAAGAAATGACCCTACAATGCACTGGTCCATGGCAGTGCCAAGAACGGCGTGTTGCATTGATGCCTGTGACAATATGACTGGGAAGACACCGCATAGTATATTTTGGTTATGTAGCTGATTTAATCCATCATTTGCTTGCTTGCTTGCTCAAGCACTTACTATCTCACTCACTCCTGGAAGCAAGAAAATCAGATTAGCACGACGTATGAAATAGAGAACAACAATTAGAGAATTCTGAAATACGACTTAAGTAGTTATGGTAAAAAGTGTTACAAGTCTCAAAATCTTTCTTCCAATAATCGAAAAAACATAAGTGCCAAGTTCGAAGATCATTCTTGCTAAGACTCGTAGTAGAGTGACAAAGGGTACCACGTTTTCCCGCCAAAATGACGCTGGTTCACGCGCAAGTATTACTTAGGATATACGTTAGAAATCAGCGAGGAATCGATAGCTTTAGCATTCATCATCCTCAACTCCTAATTCCGTAAACAACAATCACATAAATACTAAGCACACAGTGGTTATCCCCACGTGAACAGCTTCAAGTGAAAAATCATGAAGTGTATGCCTTTGCTCAAAGTGACCAGTCCCAATGGTATTACTACAGAAGTTCTAATGGCTGGTGCTCCAGGTATGTCATCATCATTACCAAGATTAATCAAGTATGTACTGTATTGATAACAGTTTCATTTCATCAGCTTGGACGCTATAGACATTACATAGATTATGTGCGTGGCGACAGTTTCAAAAACTCATAACTGAGAAGTATATACATACTGAAATCAGAACCTACTGTGGCAATTGGGGAATGACCACATGAATGGCTAACTACTTAAAGCAGGCTTTCTTTTCACAAATTATGGCAAAGGTTGCATCATAACTCTGAGGATATATTCTCTGCAATTATCTACATTCTGCAGTTCCAGTATATGAAAATCATGAATTCATTATTTTCTTGTGTGCATTCTTAGGTACCATGGATAAATTAATCTCCCCTTGCTGGAAAACATTATCGATGGTCATTGTCAATATCCCAGTCTTTAGCGATGGCATTCCATAAGGCTCAATTCTTGCAGTGTTATTGATCTTCCACCATGTTTAAGTGATAAGTCAACTGTTAATAGTTATGAAGATGACACACTGAATCATCCTCTTTGGCTTCTCCCACTATTCTGGAGAGTACTTTACAGAGAGAACATCACCAAGTCCTGCAAGAATATTATCATCCTCCAAAAGCAAAATGCTTATCAATATCCCAATACCATCTCTGTCCTGTTCCCTTTACATCACAACATCACGAAAACCATATTGACAACTTAATCAACAGAATACTTACCTTGCAAAATTGGAATATTTTACACCATAACAATCAACCTCTCACTGAAATAGTGGAAGCTGTTCTATACATTTTGGATTAAAATCAATAATGTGATATATAGCAGCTGGGTTTATGGCTGCTGACCATTTGAAAACATAAACTGATTAGCAGCTGATGCAGGGATGGAAGTGGAGTAACGTTGAAAAGACTGATCCAGTTACTAATCACACAGGTGAAACTCAGCTGTGGTATATACAAGAAAGTCAATGGGGAGAACTTGTTTATTGGTGGTATCCTCACAAGATAAACAGAGCTAGCTGCATACAAAATACACAAAGAACGGACATAATCTTATGTGTCCAAAATACGAACAAGAGATAGATGGAGCATATACCCTGACAATATTATTTACTTTAAGACCACAGAATGGTACGCCAGTAGATATAACGATAAAGGAGATGTTAACTTCCTAAGTTTTAACGTAATAAGATGAATGCAGTCACCAATGCTATGAGTTTTGACTCTTGTTTTCTGCTTGTAGTGTAAAAAGTTACATGTAGATTTTCTTTTTTAGGTTATTTATGCTGCAAATGAGTTAACACCAGCCGTAGGCTGATTCATCATGCAGATTAAATATAGCTTTTATTAATATTATTGCTATTTTTAATATATATAGTCATTTATAGTTAGTTTTGTACTTTGCATGTTTATTTTCTGATTTTATTATAACTGTTTATAACAAGAGTCACAAAAGGTAGCCTTTTTGTTTTAAGCCCGGCAACATGAGTGAAGGTGGGTCCCTTCAGACACCTCTGCCTTCCTGAGCGGCTAATAGGGACTTTAAGATCTGGGATGCGACGACTTCTAGAACGTGGTGGCTGATAAAGGACTGGAACTAGAACGCTGTCGTTTGCGCGTGAAAAGTAAAGTTAAGATCTCCGTCACGATGTAAGACGATGCGGCTGCAAACCGCTCTTTATCAGTGTGATTCCTCGGCAATTCTTTTGCAGAAATAGCCATGGCATCATTTAAGAAAGTCCAAGAAATGCTTTGTTTGTGCTTTGTTTGATAGCATCACCTCCACTTTTTCGTTGACGCTTCGGTTTGTCATCGCTTTCGTCCGCTATTGAACCTCTTTTCCTTGTCTCTGACAGTTAGTCTAACATCTTCCGCTTTAGCCCGATCGTATTGACGTTTTTTGCTAGCTGTTCCCTGTGTTTCCTGTAATTCCGCTTCGCTACTTTCCTCCAACGTGATGATCATATCCAATAGGTTTTTTAGTTCTGTTGGTTCATCGGGAGTTATCCCAGTTGCTTTTTCCTCCGCTAGAAGTTTCTTCTTATGCTTGTAAACTAGGATTCCCACGTGGTCTCGGGACTGATCGCTTATCAACCCTGAATTTCGACACAGTACATTTGTTCAAGGTGTCTGCTATTTTTTTCCACATACTGCTTCTTTGTGTTGATTCTTTCTTATTTGCGTAGGGATTTACATTGACGACTTCTCTGCATAGAATGGCTTCATGATCATGTGTCCAAAACATTACTGAACACACGCAGTTTAATAAAATTAAATTAAATAATACAGGCTTAAAATTGGCTTTTAGCGTCAGTACAAGAGACGAGAAGAGTATTCAGAAGACTCCTGCGTTCACTATTTGCAGTTTTAGTGCGTGACTTACTTGCAAGCCTTGCTCTAAGTTGAAGTCAAAGGCGCTGCCATTTTATAAGCTTCGTACATCTGAAAGAAATTTAAAAATAATCAAAATCCTTCCATCTCTGCGATCTAGAATGTCGCCAGAAATTACGTCCAATGATCCTAGATGGCTGATTTTACATGTTTAGAGGAATATATCATCATTTACTTTAAGCACAGGAACAAATATACTCACGTTTTGTACAGTGTCAAACTCGCAAAACAAGTTGCGACATTTGTTTTGGTATAGTCCAACTAAAAAAGGGAGATTTCAGGACAATAAACGTAAAATGGGTGTTTCTTTGCTTACTTTAAGTTCCATAGGGATCGATGGTGAGCAATTGGCAAAATTAAACAAAATGAACCGGACTGCCGTGACACAGCCCCTTTAAACTGTATAGAAAAATTGTATATAATGGGAATGAATGAATGAATGCATAATACAAAAGAATGTTTTTTATATCTATAATAAGTAGTTATGTAATAAATAGTTACTTATAGATATAAAAAACTTTCTGGCCATGGCTTTGGCCAACGTGTCCTCCGGTACCATCATTTCCTGTCTGAAGAAAGACGAATAATTTTCATTACTTACTATTATTTAGTAAGTTAATGGCATACAGAGATAATAAATTGTCAAACACTATGTAAGCATTTCAAAAAATGATTTTAATAGTTGGTCTTATAATGGGAAGAGTTAGGGTAGAACAAATCCAAAGCGGGTAAATCATACAAAGTGACATTGAAGAACAAATTAATTACAAGTGGTTTGTTTTATATAATACTGAAGAACAACAAACTCACAGGTCAGATTTTAAAAAGGTAAAGTATTGTGTCTTTATAGGGTTAAAAATTAACTTTTGAACGAGGTCATCCACAAGACAACAATTTTTCCAGATCTAGGGATCCAAGGTGAAATATGGGTGGCAAATGAAAACCAAAGGGGACTAAAAGCCAACACTTGTAAAAGACACTAAAATTATTGTTTTATAGCCCAATCAATGAAAAGATCAAAACATGATTTCTTTGTTTTCCTGCCAAAGAAAACCCTTATATGGAGAAGGCATTGTTCAATTGGCCAATCTTGTTTCATTATCACATCAAAGCGAAGTTTTGATTAATTTCTAGGAAGTTATTGGGCATGAAGGTTTTTTCCCAAGTGTTTGCATAACCAACCGAAAAGCCACGTTCATTTGTATCTCTTTTTGCTTTATGTCCTTTGTTTTGGTTTGTTCAAGTGTTTTTATTTCAGGGTCATTCTAAAGTCACTCTTTTATAAAATGCTTGTGGCTCGCTAACACAGGGCATAGTGTACGTTACGTATTGGATTCGAGACAGGATACAGCAATACAAGGGGGTATTGCACGATATGTGAAATAAATGTCAACAGACACTACCATAAATTTCTGATTATAACCGCATCCACCTGCCACCCCTTTCCCATCGAAATTGCAATGAATTAAACTTTGAACAAAATTTTCGAAGTTTAAAGAAGCAGTGCAAGTATTTTCATCAGCAATGCAACATAGCTTGTTGTGAAAGACTTTTTTTAGTCTAGTTGTATAAGCCCAAAGTTTATAATCTGAAGTTTACAGCATCCATGTACATGAAGATGTAACTTGAGTTTGGAGAAACCTGCAGGTCTACTCTCAGTATTTTAGTCATGGATAATTTTCATGTAACATAACTATTTTACCCTTGTTACGCGGCTTGCGCCTTGGGGTGGGGCACACAGATTTCCTGTGGCACCACCCCCCACAGTTGTAGCACTTAATATGAATGTCTACAAATTGAAACAAAGAATTATATTAATAATAGCTATAAAAACATCTAGTTTGACTGGGCTGACTATCAGCTGTTTTAATTTTACCATTAATATAGGGATTGGAAGTACACATCATCCATTGTACTGAATTGGATGATAGTACAGGTCATTGTTGCCATGCCCTTGAATGTGTTTTCTATTCACTGTGAGCAAAAAGCTTTCAGAATATTTGTGAGGTCCTAATCTTCAATAAGCTTTAAACATGATAACCTTTGGTAT